GCTGTATCATCGCGAAAATTTACAGCACAACACAACGTACTGTTAGTGCATGGTGGATTTGTCGTCCTGTAGTGTCACGCTATATTTTACTATATTTTTGTATCCACTAAGTAAGTCTTGCGTGTAACTTTTGTGCAATTTTTTACATATTCAATAATGCAACTGATTGGACAATGAAACAAAACATGTAGCTGAAAATGTGAAAATATATAGCATCTAACAACATGCAAAATTTCTGGAATTGTCCTGTAGTGTCACTTGAAATAGTCCTGCTTCATATGAATAATAATAATTCTGTCTAGCTATATTTTATTTTAATGGAATTTCAAATAATAATGTATAAGTTTCGAGTTAGATTTGAGATTAGTTTTGATATTTGTTCTTCATGTCTATTTGTTTGAGCATTGCTCTCTTATTTCTACAAGTTTCAGACAGAGAATCGTCAGTGAAACCTAAGTTAGTTTATGTCAAGTATTTCAGAAGGGAGCCCATTTTTGATTGACAAGGGATAAATACCCTGGGAAAAAACATATCCGGCAATGTAACTAGGAGGAAAGGGAATTTTCTAGTGAAAGTCAAATCAGTGAGTGAGTGCCCGTAACTTTGCTCAGAGTTGAGTCTCCTGTACTTCTGAGTGAGTGCCCGTAACTTTGCTCAGAGATGAGTCTCCTGTACTTCTGAGTGATTGTCTGTAACTTTGCTCAGAGTTGAGTCTCCTGTACTTCTGCGTGAGTGCCCGTAACTTTGCTCAGAGTTGAGTCTCCTCTACTTCTGAGTGAGTGCCCGTAACTTTGCTCAGAGTTGAGTCTCCTCTACTTCTGAGTGAGTGCCCATAACTTTGTTCAGAGTTGAGTCTCCTGTACTTCTGTGTGAGTGTCTGTAACTTTGCTCAGAGTTGAGTATCCTGTACTTCTGTGTGAGTGTCTGTAACTTTGCTCAGAGTTGAGTCTCCTGTACTTCTGAGTGAGTGCTCGTAACTTTGCTCAGAGATGATTCTCCTTTACTTCTGAATGAGTACCCGTAACGTTGCTCAGAGATGAGTCTCCTTTACTTCTGAATGAGTGCCCGTAACTCTGCTCAGAGTTGAGTCTCCTGTACTTCTGAGTGAGTGCTCGTAAATTTGCTCAGAGATGAGTCTCCTGTACTTCTGAGTGAGTGTCTGTAACTTTGCTCAGAGTTGAGTCTCCTGTACTTCTGAGTGAGTGCCTGTAACTTTGCTCAGAGTTGAGTCTCCTCTACTTCTGAGTGAGTGTCTGTAACTTTGCTCAGAGTTGAGTCTCCTCTACTTCTGAGTGAGTGTCTGTAACTTTGCTCAGAGTTGAGTCTCCTGTACTTCTGAGTGATTGCCCGTAACTTTGCTCAGAGTTGAGTCTCCTGTACTTCTGCGTGAGTGTCTGTAACTTTGCTTAGAGTTGAGTCTCCTGTACTTCTGAGTGAGTGCCCAAAACTTTGTTCAGAGTTGAGTCTCATGTACTTCTGAGTGAGTGTCTGTAACTTTGCTCAGAGATGAGTCTCCCTTACTTCTGAGTGAGTGCCCGTAACTTTGCTCAGAGTTGAGTCTCCTGTACTTCTGAGTGCGTCAGTGACCTTGTCAGTGACCAAATTTTCTTATTGAGAGAAAGCAACTAATGAGTTATACACAAATAAACAGGCATGAAGTACCGCAGCATATGCACAACATGGCCAATGTTCCCTTGGGAATCCTGGGAAAATTACAGAAGATATATATAATCTTCAGGGAGACGCTTACTTTTTTCTGTTTATACAACGCTCACTTGTGCCTTTTGATACGAACAAAGGCATGTACAAGTACAAGCCACTGAAATCTCACAATTTTAATTAGTATCCTTTGGGCAAATCGTTGTTCGCTTGTGTACCCCCATAATCACCTTGCATGTTGTACTTAATAGGACAAAATAAGACACGGGAACTGCAAATATATGTACTGTAGTTGTAGTTAAAGCTTGAAAATGTCTCTTTCTAAAGAGTTTTAAACTAAGGTCCTTAAATTTAATTAACATCGAGGGAATATAATATTTCAAGGCAGATTAGAAGCTGTGAAAAGAATTTCTTTATTTAATCTAATGTAACCCTTAAAAAAAAATTTGTACATGTACCTCAGTTTGGGAACACCCTCTCGGCACTATGCCATCATGTGCGTACCTTAACAAATGAATTTATATCAGACATCCCTCCTTAGTACTTACTGAACCTTCATTGCAAGTTAATGCTCATGGCATGCCTTTCTATTTCTGTTAATGACATCACACGTCTGCCTTCTCTCTCTCTCTGACGCGAGCGTGATTATCTTGAATAGCATTAACACTGCAGCTGTGTCAAAATAATTCCCAGATAGTCTCTGTGCTTTCATCAACAAAGAAGTAGTTTTAGTATGAAGCTGGACGAGTTTTATGAGCAGGGATGAACAAAGGAATATTTTGAGCTGCGCAAAATTTTAATAGTGGGGGGGGGGGGGGGGGTTCAGGGCAGAAATACAGAAATATTATTATTCTTTGGTAATTTAGTACAGGGTGGTCCAAATAAATAAAACCCAATAATTCAATTAGCAAATTTTGTAGGGATTCATTTAATTTGGGACAACGTTATTATCATAATATATAATGTACCGGTATAATATAAACTATTAAAATGTGCTCACAAAGGGGGGAATTCGTTGTTTTTTGGAAGGAAATTTTTTGTTGTGGCACTAATAATATTTATTTATCTATTTTAATCGGTAAGTATGTTGATAGGTATTTGTCAGTTTGTCTTTCTGTTAGATGCACGCGATATCTCACGTAAGCGAGATTGGATCTGCTGCAGATTTGTATGGTGCATTCATCATATCTCGGACCAGAAGCCTATTAATTTTGGGCGAATTATGTCGTATAATTAGCGAGTTATCAATTAATTAGTGATGGGACACAAGGTGTCACTATGGAATGAGAGCGCTGTTTTGGGGGATCCCCTAACTTTCGATCGATAAGTCCTCGGCCTCTGACTGATATACTCGTTTCATAATTGTTATGTAATGAAATTGCCACAAATTCCCACAAAATTTTTTGTTGTGGCATTAATAATATTGTTTAGGTATTTGGTATGTTGTAATATATATTAATGTATACATTATACACGATCCAAACTTTGCTCTGTTTCTGGGTTACAAGGATGCTGAAGCAAAAGTACAGATACCTATTCTATTTAATTCTTGGGTCACAATAACACAATTATATTCCTGTAATGTTTTGTCTGAGAAAGGTCAATCCTCCTCGAAAGTAGAAATGCAATCTGTGCTCTAGTTAGGGTTCTTTCTAAGATTATACAAAATAATCGAAACATAGTTTTTTTAAACAAAGTAAGGTGGAATAAAGAACTTCAAAATATGGTAAAAGGCTTTGAAAACTTAAATTATAAAGTTGGAATAAGTACAGAAGCTGGAATGGTCAGAACTGAGTAGTCTATTATTCTAAACACATATTCTCGAATTTGGAATACCAGATTTATTGAACATGAATTGTACATATTATGGATCATTATTACTTATCGATCTTTAGATCGGTATAGAGTCATGAATCGAAACCGCAGTTTCGATCGATAAGTCTTTGGTCTCCGACCGATATTCTCGTTTTGTTGTTGTTGGAATTGTTATTGTTAAAAAGTCGCTTTTTCATTAACAACTGGACCAATTGCTTTGAAATTTTCAGTGCTTAATAATATTTTTTTCTAGAAGGCTATTTCTTTTATTTCAAAAATTTCAGTGAACTCTATGGGATTTGTTTTTTGTGTGCAATGACAATAAAATTGCGAACCTTTTGGCATTTCTGCTGCTATCTTGCGATCAGTCGAAGTCATGAGGACTGCAGTACTTTGAGTTTGCCTTCATATTCATATATTTGAGCATCGCTTTCTTGTTTTAAAAATTGAATACCCCCGCATATAACCCGAGCTCAAACTCAAAAAAAGAGGTTGGCTTTAATCGCATAACTCTGATCGCACAATAGCATCCATTTACTGTGTTAGGTGCACAGTGTGTGTTATGATTTGTAGGGTCGGCATATACGGCATATATATAGCTTTATGGTAGTGGCCAATCCGCTTCACCAGGTATCTCTATGGTCAATTAATTAACTTTCCGAATACAAACTGGAATAATGGTTTGAATTCATCATGCTAAACAGAAAACATGTAGAAATTGATTACAGAGTATCCATAAAATCCCTTTACAATTTCAATTTTGTTAGGAAGTAAGTTCTCAATATATCCTAACCAGGTTTGTTGTTTTTTAATCAGTAATTATTCAAGTATTTTTACTTCATTTAATACATTTGTGAGAGCCAAAACAATATATGGTATCGATAAATTCCCTTTGCAATTGGTCATAGCTTGGGGTTGATCTACATTTAATGAGTTTGAATTTTGAAATGTAAGTAGGTTGAAATAAACAGTGACTTCATTGGTTTTCTACTAGAAATTGAAACAAGTTATTTTTGATTATCTTTTTCGACTGCAATCCCAAATATGAAATTTTGAATCGATTCTAATCCAGAAAAAACTAGAATAATTTATTTCAGATGATTTTTCTTGACGGTGTATTTATACACCTTATTGTTTACTCCCTGGACAATCAGCTACTGTTCATTAACACAAATATTATATCTGTAACGTTTGACTTTCCAAATTCGACAGTTCATTATGTTCGTATGAGGAAGGTAACTATCTATAGTCAGACGAAACTTTACAAAAAAGTATTTATGTTAGTGTACGTACAGCAAAAGCAGATATTGCCAAAACCAAATACGGAATATTCAATGCATTTTAAATTTGGGTCACGTCACGTTCATGTGGAAAATTCATAAATCCCTATATAAACTTAAAAACCTAAAAGTTATTTTTTTCTCTGATTTTTGTCGTCAGATGAGATATTGTACTTTTGACTTGCTTGTCTGACTGCTTGAAGTCTCCAATTTTTAAATAAAGAAATCAAAACTTTCCATATCGAATAAATGTATTCAAATATTCGACTCGTTTTGGACATCACTGCGCAAGACTTACCAGAATATATTATGTAAATTAAAAAAATTATTTTACGAATTTTGTAGCTTACTTGATCCCCTCCCCTTACAGTTATTATTCACTTGTGCTTAAAATTTCCTCCCTCTGATTGGGAGATGGTTTTTAATATTATGACATAACAATGTCTTCAATTCATCCTGGAAATCTTCACGGGACAGGGGATCGTACGAACAAGTCACGATACCACTATGCGCGCCAGAGAGTGCAAGGTTTGAAATAATTTTGATATGAAATATTTTTTAATTAAGGCCGACCCCCTTGGGCAGGGGGAAGTTTTTTTTCGCGACCCAGCGGAACTAAAATTAAAATGAATTACCATATTTCCCGGCGAATAAGTCGCTTTTCTAGACCCAAATTTTTGGCGAGTATGATCATTTTCATATGGTGGTGTTGGTGTCGCCTTATTATTGAATCCGGACAATAAAATACCTTCATTTTTTAGGCCTAAAAACGGGCCTTGTCTTATTTGCAGGGTAGACTTATTCGCCAGGAAATACGGTAAATTTGATAAAACGGAAAATATGGAATAAAACTTTGATTTTTGATCAAAAATACCGTAGTTTAAAATTTATTTGCAGAAGAATAAATAATTCCTGATCATTGTCCATCTTTTATAAAAATTACATGAGAAATGCTACTGGAGGTAATTCAAATTATAGTGATGTATCACACGCACTGACTAAGAAGTAAAGTGGACTTATAAAGGAAGTAAAGTATCAGATGACCACTGTCAAGAGTTACTACTGAGTCTATTTAAAACAGACATGGGCAAAGTACGGCCCACAAGCCGAATCCGACGCGTTGGGTAATTCAAGTTCGCCTGATGCTGCCACAATCAAACTGAAATCTAATTTAGATATTTTAGCTAAAATTATCTCAAGCTATCCATTGAGATTGCGGTTAAATTTAAATTCGGCTCAAGGCTTATTGCTTCAGCTTTGTAATATTGTAAATATTCTTCATAAAATGTAACTTGTTACATCACACTTCATGGCCCGTTAGTCTTAAGTGGGCAAAAATTTTGGCCCCCGGTTTGAAAACTCCTGTTTTAAAATAAACGCACAAGATTATGCGGCAGTAATGCCAATTGACGCAGAGGTTTTGGGCGAATCATGTCGATATGATCAAAATTTGTTAAAACTGTTTTCAGAAGCCCAGAAATCAAAGATGGAAGAGTCAGATGGTGCAAGAAGAGAGGAAACTGCGCGAAAGCAAACAAATAATGGATTGATTGTCATCCTCATATTAATGATTGTACTGACATGGGGCATCGCAGCAACTGCATACTTTGGAGTTATCGACTATAAAGGCTTAGTGGGTGAGTTACAGCTAGCTAGATAGGACTTGGATGAAATTTACAATCGATTTTATTGTTGTCGAAGAATGGTTTATGCGCAGCCACGAGTCTGTTATGTTTTACTCAACCATTTAGTCCAGTGATTCACAAAGGGTGGGGCACGCCGCACAGGGGGGGAAGGGGTCATAAACAATATTTCGAGAGGGTGTGACGCTAAATCAAAACATAAGTTAGATTTAATCTTACTCGCCATATTTTGGATATTTACATTCCATCCACGTATTTTCAACGTGTTTTTAGAATAAAACATTTTTTCGCCTTACTAACTGTTATTTGTAGCTTATAGGTAGCTAGTTATTTTTGAAAGGGGCGTGAGACAAATTCCAAAAAGGGGCGTGGCTTAAAAAGTTTCAGATCCACTAATTTAGTCTTTTCGTGTATGTGACTGGTAACTGAAAGAGAGGCCATGGTTTGATTATGATTAAGTTGTCGTATTGGTTTCTCACTCTCTCAGGATAATTATGAAAAGCATGATCTGATCTGTATTGCAGTTTAATTCAATCTAAACTGGGTATGGAATACTGAACCTAAATATTCTGGTATTTTAAAACAAGGAATTCCCTCGAATACTGTGAGATATTCGTGACTGCTTGCATAGGTCCCTATTTTGAACGAAATACATAAACTAAGCCATACCAGTTCCAAGACTGTGCTATTTCCATGCGTTATTTTATCTTTATCTTATTTCTGAAGTCTTTTCTCTCTCTCTCTCTCTCTCAGTCCGGGGTTCTCGAATCAAAATAACAGATGCTGCTGGATATGCATCAGCGCTCTATCCTTTCCAGTATGATTCTGCCAGACATCCGTTGAAAGCCATCGGAAAATTTTTAACAAGCATAGATGATTACATCACAAACTTCTTATTTTCATCTGAAGGTCAGAAAAGTCATTTGATCATTCTCAAGGTCGCTTAGCCTTTTCCAAGGTCGTTTGGCCATTTCCGAAGTCGAGTAACTATTCACAAAGTCACTTGACTGTTTTCAAGGTTACTTTCATTCTCTAAGTTGCTTCGCTATTCTCAATGTCACTTGGCCATTCTCAGGGTCATTTGGCTATTCTCAAGGTCGCTTCAATATTCCCAAGGTCACTTGGCCATTTTCAAGGGCATTTGATTCAAAGGTCATCTGGCCATATTCAAGGTCATTTTACTCTTCTCAAAGTCACTGAAAATACATGGAAGGATTTATAAACTTTTGATAATTGTAAATCCCTAGATTATGGCAACGCGAGGGAGCCAGGGTCATTTTGGAATGCCTTTGGTATTAACTCCCCAATCTCCACTCCTCTGGATAGCAATTGACATTACTCCAGAAGTATATGCCCCAAGAGGGCGAACACCAGAACGTAGTATGTGTACCAGGTTAGGGTTAGGCCATAATTTCAGGTACAAATACTACGGGAGTCACTTGGCTAGTCCCCAAACTCGTAATAAAACTAAAATAAAGAAAATTGAAATGAAATTTTGGCCTAACTGGCCAAACATACGATGGTACACATACGATGTTCCGGTGTCCGCCTTCTTGGTGCACATACTTCTAGAGTGCCCAATTGACTTATGACTTGATACTATCCAACTCAATACTGTCAGGGAAACAGAATCCCACTTATTGATAGGTATTGAATTTCATCCTATTCTTCTAATTTCTTTTCTATTCTTTATTCTTCTCTTTCCTTCCTTCAGTTTCTACGAATTCTCTGAAAAAGCATCGGCCCATCGTGCGGACTATTCCTCTCAATAAAGAATCAAGTATGGAGTTATTGCTAAACGAAAATAGTTTCATAGACCAGGGGTGCACAACTCAAATAAAAACATGTGCCAAATTTCGCAAAATAATCTTGTCGCGTGCCACGCACAATGGTTGGTATTGCAACTCCCGTAAAACACACATCAAACAAATTTTAAAAATAATACATAAAAATGAATATGTATTTATTGAAACAATTTATTGTCCTGAAAAACTGCTGATTTTGATATAAACGTGATATTTTAATGTATATCATAAAATTTTTTTTATACAAATCTGTTCGTGTGCCACGTTTGAGCATATGGCGTGCCAAATTTGGCACGCGTGCCCCGTGTTGTGCACCCCTGTCATAGACATTATCAAAATTAGCTTCATGTTTTTTTTCACTTTGAGCAGGGCTTTGTATAAGCAGACAAATAGCTAGTAGCTAGCGAGTTTAGAACGGACTGGGCTTAACTGTGTTACATATCTCGGTTTCGAATCCCATTTTTTTGTCATTTTTTTTTTCAAGAGTGACGCTGCTAGATAACCTGTGTTGGTTTTCCCCCGCCTTTCAACCTGAAGTACTCACTGATTCGTGAATATTTTCAGCATGGTGAAAGAATAAACTAGTATTGATTACTGCAGTGGTTCCCAACATTTTTTGTTAAATTCCCCCCTTGTCTATTCTGGAACCCTTTATTTCTTCTTTGTTGTGCATGAAAAATACTTATTCACTCATTAAATCATTGATGGATCTTGAATTAGTGTCATGGGCAGGTTGCAATTCAGTTTTTGAGTTTATGATATGCACACAAATAAGTATCAAAGTAATGTGTGATAAAAAATTTGAGAATATTAGTAATGCTACAGCAAATATGAAGCTGAACCCCCCAAAAAAAATCTGGTACTTCCGAAGTATTTGAACCAAGGTGTTACGAGTTCGGGGACTAGCCAAGTAACTCCCCTTGTATTTGTACCTAAATTTATGGCCTAATCCTAACCTGGTACACATACTACATTCCGGTGTTTGCCATCTTGGTGCACATACTTCTGGAGTACCAAATTTTGGATGCCTATTTTGAGAGTCATCCATGCCACTCCCGTTTTTGTACAGTTCAAATAGTTAATGGAGTCAGGAGTTATATTATTAATGAAGAATTAAATCATATTACTGATACAGAGAAATATTTCCTTCCAAGAATGAAAAAGGTCCTCCCTTGTTTTGAAACGTTAATTTGCTTATATTTATTATTTTTTTTTCTCTAGATATAGTGAAGCGAGATACATCGAAGTCAGAATCTGTCGTCTCAGATGATTCCAACCCCACAAAAAAGCCAGCGGAAGAAAAGGATGTAGGTAAGGCATGAAAGTATACATGTTCAATTATTTGTCAAGTTATTTTTTTGCTTGAAATTAATTTGAAGCAAGTTCACAATTAAAGTTACGGGCACTCACAGGATCACTGAGAAATAAGAGACTAATGTCCGAGTAAAGTTATGGACACTTAATGAGAACTCACTCATAAGTGGATGAGACTCATCGATGGCGTCCATCGCGTCCAGCAATCCTTGTTGACGCAAAACAATTATAGCTAATGTAAATTCACAAATGACGAGAGAAAATTTCAAAGTTCTCAATAATGTCTTTGCAATGAGGGCATGTCTTGTATGATAAGCATGTGTGCAACCGCTTGCATGTGCGATATTTAGCATGACAACCATACCCAACGTCTTCTTACTCAGCTTTCTAGGGTTTCCATCCTTGACAAGGCTCTGTACAGGCAGCCACTGATAATGTAGAGATTATTTGGAACGAAATCTTACTTGTTTCGCATTGCCTGTCCAAATACTTTACACCCTGGGTGTGGTAGTGGGCACAGGATTTGGACCTAAGATTTTTTTTTTTTGAGGCTAAAATAGTCGAGTTCATTTCAACCAAATGGCGATGGGATCTACAGCAGGGGTTCCCAAACTTTATTGGCCGCGGGCCAAAATTAGAATCGAAAGGGTGTTCGCGGGCCGGAAGAGTGTAGTGCCCGAAAGTGTGCAACGGTTTAGCTGGGGTTCTGTGGATTCACATTTGACATTTTTTTAAACATGTTTGTTTGATTCATAATGCCGCTTTATGTCGTATTGTTTTATAACTTGAATAGTTCGTCGGCAAAGTGGACAAATCGCTGAAGTGTGATTCTTTTCAATACAGAAATACGAACGATGCCATTTATCGGAGTAACATCTGTTTTCAGAGTCTGGTATATTATTTGACATCTCTAACCTTACTTATACGGCTGATAACTAAATTACTGCCCTATGTAATCCTAATACGGTACGTATAATTGAGATACCGGCATAATCAAATTGTTACCATGAACACGAGCTTAAACTGTGATAATGACATAACAATTGGCGGTTTCTAGATTGTAAAAAGGTAGAAACAAAATATATTTCATTGTTTCACTTAAGCTTGGTGGGCCATTTTAAATCGTTACGCGGGCCGGAGTTGGGAACCCCTGATCTACAGGGTGACCATAAAGTCCCTTTACAATTTCAATTGTGTTATGAAGTCAGTTCATAATATATCTTCACCAGGTTTGTTGTTTTTTAAAAAGTTAGTAGTCACTTCTGTTACCCACTAGGCCAAATGTATTCGGAACAGTAGAATATTCAGTTTTGGCTATATGGCATTTTACTCACAATCACCACAATTTATGTCATAAATTAACCCGTCATCCCTTTTGTGAATCGTAAGCGTTTGGAAGTCACTCATCCATGACTTTTTATTCGAATAGCTCGTTAAAGTTTTATGGTTTCCATTTGACTGATTGGCCACGTCATTGAACCAATGGTATGAATGGTTCAGGCATGACTGAAGCTAAAAATAAAAAAAACTACGTTCAGTGAAAATTTTATGAAATATAAACTGATATGTTCAAGTATGTGAACCAAGATGGCGGACACCTGAACATATTACGTTTACCAGGTTTAGAGTTAGGCCATAATTTTATTCCAATTTTCCTTATTTTAGTTCTATTTAGAGTTCGGGGACTAGCTAAGTGACTTCCATAGTATTTGTACCTCAAATTATGGCCAAACCATGACCTGTTACACATACTACGTTCCGGTGTCCGCCATCTTGATTCACATATTTTGGGAGCTCCCGAATTTATGTTTTGTCTTTCACTCTCAACAAGACTCATGCATGCATCAACTGATATTTAGGGTGGCTTTATTTTGGCAAAAAAAATCCGAAAATTTGATATAACGACACCTATTTGGTATCTTGGTACGCATACTTCTGGAGGTCCAATGGGCCATATTACCAAATTCAGTCATCTAGCTGGGCCACACAAAAAATCTCAGTTTTCTGTACTTCCGAAGTATGTGCACCAAGATCACGTACACTGGAATGTAATATGTGTACCAGGTTACGGTTAGGCCATAATTCCAGGTACAAATACTACGAGAGTCACTTGACTAGTCCCTGAACAATAGAACTGAAATAATGAAAATTGGAATAAAATTATGGCCTAACCCTAACCTGGTACACATACTTCGTTCCAGTGTCCGCCATCTTGGTACGCGTACTTCAGGAGCACCAAAAAACCTTATGTATTTATATTCATGTGAACGCCTCTTTAAATATAAACTGTTGGATTGGGATTTTATGCTTGATGGGGAAACATTTAAGTGTTGACAAGGGTCACACTTGGTGAGAGCTGGTTGTGGCCCACTAGCACACCTCTGCACTAGATTATCACATCTATTTTTTATATGGTGCTTATTCATGGCTTTTTAATGAGTCAATATTATATTATTCTTGTTCCATACATTTTTATTTGAGAGTAATGCTGATGCATTGCCAGCAACCCTGCCCTATTCAAGGAAAAAACAGCATTTTTACACTCAAGTACAAAATTAAACATTCCTACCCAAAAACAGTAAATTTCTAACTGGTTAGGAAACACACTGTTCATATTTATCGCAGTCCACCATCCCACCCCTTCATAACTGACTGAAAGTGAAATATTTTCATTAATTTTATTCATTCGTTTTTCAGCCAAAGCAAGTGATCCATCTAACGATAAAGATAAACCAAGAAAAGCAAAGGTAAGGGATATGATTTTCATACGCAGAAGGTGGCGGTGTGGCTCAACGTGCTACGCTACGCGTTAGGAATACGTCACCACAACTCTGCATTGGTTCGCAGGTTCGAATATTGCTGGACTCCTCGCCACTGTAGGGTGATTCACATAACCACTTGTCGGTTACGGCTTCATCCACCATCAAGTCCATGCTTCCGAAAACAAATACCTAATCCCATACCCGACATGGAATAGTAACCGGACAAGAGGCCGTGGTTTGCTATATGGTTGAGCGGTCGTATGGACTTTCCTCGCCCCCAGGATAAATATGTAAATCCTATTCTAAGTGAAAGGGACTCATCTCTAAAGTAGTCTCTTTCCTTAGCCGAAGTTGAAGAGACTCGTCTCAAAGAAAAGTTATGGTATTCACTCAGGTGTAAAAGAGACTCATCTCTGAGCTAAGTTACAGCACTCACTTGGGGATAAAGAAGACTCATTCCTAAGCATGTAACTTCTGGTGTCTAAATTGGTCTCTGATTGAGCGAATTAGATAAGTATCTGACTCCAAAAACAGAATATATAGTAGGTTACGTGTTCAATTTGAGATATCTGTTAATTTTATATAACAGTAAGGATCTGACCCATTTGCCTGTAAAGATTTTTATTTCCACAGATAATATATCACAATAAATTGACTTACAATAAAACACACTCACAATCGTGAAAACCAAGTCGGTGATGAATTAGCATTGTTGCATCGAAATTGAAATAGAAAAGCCGGTTGCTGTATCGAACGGATAGAAAAGCCGGTTGCTGTATCGAACGAATTGAAATAGAAAAGCCGGTTGCTGTATCGAACGAATTGAAATAGAAAAGCCGGTTGCTGTATCGAACGAATTGAAATAGAAAAGCCGGTTGCTGTATCGAACGAATTGAAATAGAAAAGCCGGTTGCTGTATCGAACGAATTGAAATAGAAAAGCCGTGAAAACCACGATCAAATGTCTATTTAAACGGTAACATCTTTTTCATCTCGCTCGCCAAAAACGGTACCTTTCTTTATTATCCAAAAATCTCGTTTCCCACGGAGCAATTTTTGCTCATATCTAGAATTCGGTACCCTTCTTACAATAATTACACTTGTTTATAGGTTACCTGACATGGGAAATATCCATTTCTCATACACGAGAAAGATCTAGACTCAATATTTCGAATGATCTAGAAAGATCTCTTCAATATTTCGGTTGTTTATGGGTCACCCGACATGGGAAAATATCCATAGAAAGACTAGATCTCTTCAATATTTCGATTACGTCAATTATTATATAGAATTTGACTTCCATTATCCAAATTATTGGTTAATTTGTTACACATTCCTGGCACCACAAGTGAAATATTTTAAAAGCACATATTAAAAATTAACCGATAATTGTAGAAATATAAGAATGAAATCGAAATTATCATGACAGTAATCAAATCTCGTAACTTTTGAAGATGGCAATTTGAAATGTCAAAGTAATTTGTTTGAAAACTGTCGGATGAAGAGCAAAACATCCACTACGAAGAGCAAGAAAAAAATGGTCAAACACACGACAAGACAAATTCCTTAATTTTGGATATTTAAAATGGCAATTGAAAGATTTATATACAAGAAGAAAAACATGAAATTTTGAGCACTAATTATACATGCAAGAATTAAAAACATACAACTTAAGAACTCATTGTAGCCCCATTTATTATGATTCTGACTTGGGGTCTTTTCAAATTATAAGGATGAGACATTTGTATTGTGAAAGGCATTTGAATTGTGCAATTCAGTGAAACAGTAATGGTATTATTATACCTTCTTCTCACCTACACGACTTTCAAAATTGTGAGCACTTGTTTAATGTACGATTTACTATTAGATAAATTAGGCGATAATGACTTTAAAAAATGAAGAAAAGATGGTTTATTGATTCCCAAAAACAAAAAAAATCTTACAATATGACTGTATTGTAGGTCTTTACGTTATCAGTGTTAAACCTTATTAAACATAAGGCTTTTTGGTAGGTCGTTACGTTTCAGTGATTGCAACTAGGTAGGTCTTTACGTTTCAGTGATTGCAACTAGTATTGTTACTACTCATTCTACATTTAATTGTCTGTACCATTTGCAATAATAATGGGGGGGGGGGGGGGGGAAGATTTAGATGTAAAACACAATAATTTGTCATGAAATTTGAAAAATACAACAAATAGACGAGCGTTGTAAAACCAATAAAAGAATGCAACAATAAAATTAATTTTGAGACATCGGTACCGTGATATTTCCTATTAATCTCATAAATTCAATAAACTGCAGAAAGAATTAAGATAACTTTTGTGAAAACTTTGTGCACTTTATTTGGAGATAACTTGGTGGAGAAAACAAAAAAAAAAATGATTGGAGTACTCCATTTGGGGAATCATTGGTTGAAAAAAATGATTGAGGGGAAAAAAATAAGGCTTAAAAAAACTTGTGAGCCTTTGGATCCAAAAAAAAAAAAAAAAATGTTAAAAAAAAAAGGTATTTATTTTCTTGATTATACTTTCTTGATTATGTAACCTGTCATTGTCTTTTATCAGGTCATGAGTTTTGTTTATCGCCGCGAGCGCTATAAGTTTTTATTTATTCGCTTCCGCTATCCGACACGAGATTTAAGACCTCGACATTTCCACCATTGCTTCTGAGGTGTTGCATAGCATTGGCCCTCTCGTTTACTGGGGTACGCGTGACTCTCGGTTGGTGGTGGACATGCGTACGTCTGGAATGATTTCCGTTCGGTTCACGGGAGCGGGTACGTCGATATCTGGGGCCTTCCTGTTCTCTGGAGTGCTTGTACGTCTGTCGGGAGGAGAGGGACGCCCCCCAAAGATTCTATCCCTTATTCTTCTCCCGACAGAACTTCGGATTCCACTTCCAGCCAAAGTTACAGTCCTGCCGTAAGCAAAAATAATAGACAGAATTAGCCCGATCAGTATTACAATGGCAAGGAATTTATTGCCTATTCCACTAAGAAAAGATATCAATTTTTTTTAATATGTTTAGCTAGTATTTTCAGGGGAAGTGCAGGATTAGCACTAGTTGTTTCCTGTTCGTCATTAAAAGAATTGGCATAGTCAATTAGACTTTTAGTAAATATGGAATTCTGGCTTATGGACATTAGCATTGAATCTATGTCGTTAGAACGCGGTACGTCGTTCTTGAAGAATTTTGACAATGAAGTAAGATAATTTGTATTGTAAGGATTTATTTTCTTAGTTGTTAGGTAAGGGTGAATTTTCTTTGGGTTTGTGGTTTTGTTTTGTAGAATTCCCTTTTGATAGCTATAATAAGTGTTATTCATTTTAAAGGTAACGAACTCCTGTGGTTCGGTACTATAAAAGTTTATACCTGGAAGAATTCTTCCCGAAGACAAGTATTGGGCGATAACTGTAGTGTTAGTGTTATCAGTATAGTTAACTAAGGGACGAGTAGAATATAACTCGTTAGGTAATATTAGACTATTTAAGAGACTCGCTTTTATGGGTTGACACAAAAGGGTGCCCAGCACGTCGCCTCTGTTAACCGCAAAGAGATTATTTGTTCCCAAAATTTCGTTCAACACATCCGACGGGTACGTTTTCGCTAAAACTCTATAAATTTTAGATAATATTCGTTCGGTCTCACATTCCAATTTAAAGATTTGGCTCTGTAATTTCGCGGACAGAGCGGTTTGTGAGTCTGCGACATTTTGTATCATCAACGTTAATGCCGTCGAAATGTCTGCGTGATCAGCAAACTCACGTAACACGTTGACTTTCTTTAATAAACTACAATTCTTGACTTGAACCAAAAGTTCGTTTTCAAGGCAGAAAATACTGCCAAAGCAATCAGTCGTTAATTCGTTACACACTGAAAAGGAATGAAAGGTCATATGTAAATCGTTTAGTTCTACAGCATATATGTCATTAGTGTTGTTTACATGTGCAGTTAGCGAAGAGTTTATTTCCTCCGCTTTGTTTGGACATTTTTCGAATTTTGCATCGTCAAATAAAAGTGTATAACTACCAATTTGGCAGGAAGATTGATTTACAGAGCAATTTGCGCTGTCAGCTAGAGGAAAAATAATTTTTGAGTTTAGATGGTCATACATTACATAGGATGTTAATAGGGCAATATTTTCAGTTGTTCCGGAATCAGTTGTGGGCCATTTATAGTTGATAACCGGTTTATTCTCGGTTACCCATAGATCATTGGTTTTCTGAACAAACTTACCGAATTGATTCGATTCGTGAGTCTTAAACCAGTTTCTGCAATTTTGTTCGGACGAAGGTACTCCTGATTTTATTTTGGTAAAGTGAGTCTTAGCTCCAAAGAAATAAAAGTGACTTTTCCATTCAGTTATACTAGTTTGGCAAGCTCTAATTGGAATTTTAGTATGCAATTTAGGTGCGTGATAGACTTTAGCTTGACATTTCACTATGTGTTCGGATTTGTGTTGTTTGCAAGACTTATCATCCGATATGTCGTACTCTTGATTGATTTTGTCATTTTGGCAGATATAGCCATGAACCTCTGGATTTCCAAAACATAGCCATGGTAATTGCATAAAAACTAGAAGTAATAGTATAATGGATAAATACCTGAATTCTTGATAAAATTCTTGTCCCACCATCCTGCCACGTTTCAAATAAATGATTTCTCTATCGGATTTGTCGGTCCGGGTTATTTCGTCATTGTCCGAATTTTCCTCTTCCTTTTCCTCTAGACTTCCGTCTCTGCCTGTCCATACCGGTCTGGCGGACGTACTGTCCGGCCGTATCTGGTCTTGGGCTGGTTCTCCTTCTTCCATAGGATGTCCTCTGTCGTTGGACTCGTGAATTCTGAAATAAAAGGTTCATTGTTATTCTTGGGAGTAATTACTGTTTTTATTGGTGGTTTTTCAATTTCAGTGAGAAAATTTTGGTTTTCCACGTCATGTTTTTGTTCAGGACGTTCTTCCTTATCTGTTTCAAAAATAGTAATTTCAGCAGGTTTTAATTGGTTAATAGAAACTCGTTCTTACCCTTATTTTTTTTATAGTGAAAGCATTAAAAACTCGTTCTTATACCCTTATTTTTTTTTATGGAAGATTTTTCCAAAAAAACGTTTTAATTTAGAACATAACTGTAAGGGTCAAAATCTTGGTTATGTCAGAACTTTCCACTAATTCTCCAGGGAGTCTCAGTGTTCTCCCATATGCAAGTTCGGACAATGAAAATCCGTTTAATTTCGGAATGGACCTCAAACCTAAAAGGACGTATCCCAAGTTTGATGACCATTCACTAGGGTTTTCCTGACACTTCAAACCAAGTTTAATTCTCTATGAATTCGTTCTATTTGTCCGTTTCCCTGCGGCATATATGGCAATGAAAATTTATGTTTTATTCCTAAAAAATTCATAAATTGAGCCCAATTTACTTCTGAAAGAGGAGTAATTGTCACTCTTAAGGAGAGTTGGACACCCAAATCTGGCAACCCAATGCAATAAAAATGTATCTATAAGAGTTGAGGCGGTCAGATCACATATCGGGATCGCCTCTATCCAACGTGTGTACGGTCAATCATCGTAAAAATATAAGTAAAACCTTTGCTTGGTACAAATGGTCCAACAATATCTATTGAACCTCTGAAAATCTTTCATTAGGAATAGGAATAGATGACAGTTGAGATACAGTGTGTCTAAAGATCCTGTTTTTCTGACATTTCAAACAAGATTCACATAATTTGTAATATCTGCATGCATTTGTGGCCATACGTAACGTTCTGAAATTAAATTATTGGTGCTTTTAATACCTGGATGACAAAGTCATGTATTTTGTCGAAAATTCTCCTACGTAAAATCTTGGTATTATAGTCTAGCTTTCTTATGTTCCAAGGATACGTCACATAGAATAACTCCACCCATTTGTCTATGGCTATTTCTGCAAGCTTGAGTGAATGGCCAGAGTTTGCTTTTAAACTTTGTATTTCTTTACAGTTTTCTTGCTCTTTAGCTATTTCCGTTAAAGAATGGCATCTTGTTGTTGATAAATAATATTTAAGTTATTTTTCTAAACATTTCCATTTTCTATCACGATTTATTCTCTACTCCACACGTATTATCAGTTCCGCGGTTACGTTGCTCAGATGGCGTTATGTCAGACATCGCGTCAACGGTTTTACACGCTTCACCGGTTCCTTGCGTCTGCTGTCTGCTTGCGTCGGCTGACGTTACGTGCGTCATTGCGTCGACTGATTTATTCGCTTCACCGGTTTCGTGCGTCTGTGGTTCGGATGACGTTATACGCTTCGCTGCGTCGTTGTCCTTGACGACCGCTGTTTTTGCTTCGCGCGTCTCTATTTCGTCCATTGTATTAGCTTTTTCTGTATTAATTTTATCATTACTTTGGCTATCATTATTTACATAGCGAGAAATAAAATCGGCCACTGGATTACTTGACCCCGGTATGTGAGAAAACGAGTTTGTCATACTTGTGATGTAATCCAGTTGACGGTTTTCTCTGTCGCTGGGTCTATTTGTCGGATTATTTAGTGCCTGAATTAACGCTTTGTTATCGGATAATAATTGAAATTGTCGACCGATTAAAAGATTTTTAAAGTACTTAATGGTTAAGTAACAAGCCATTAGTTCTTTGGAGAAAATAGTATAGTTTTTCTCTCGCTTGTATAGAGTTTTTGAAAAGAACCCCAAGGGCTGGTTTATTCCGTCAACATATTGTGTTACGGCCCCTGCAATAGCAGACGAACTTGCATCACATATTACCGTTATTGGCACATCAATTCTTGGGTGTGCTATCATGCATGCGTTAACCAAACACTCTTTGATTTTATGAAAGGCAGCATCACATTCTGCTGTCCAAATTGGTTTTTGACGTTTGCGGTTTTTATCTGAGACTAATTGAGTAATCGGATAAATTATCTCAGAATATCTGGCTATATGTTTCCTATAAAAATTGCACATGCCTATGAATTTGCGACATTCTGTAATTGTTTGTGGTACTCGAAATTTTTTAATAACCTCGACTTTGTCTCTGATTGGTTTTATTCCATTTTCATCAAGTTCGTAGCCTAGATAAGAAAGATTTGACTTTCCAAACTCGCATTTTTTTAGGTTTAGTGTTAAACCATAGTGGTTTAGTCGTTTAAATACTTGATCGGTTACTTTCAAGTTTTCCTCTTTTGTTTTAGTGTAAATTAGTAAATCATCAAGATAGACAAAAACATTTTTCAACCCAAACAAAACTTTACTCATGAAGTTAGAGAAGGAACTGGGTGCGGAAGCAATGCCAAATGGCATCATAATGGGAATATACTGAGCATTCGCGACGCTAAATGCACACTTATGTCTATGTAACGGATTAAGTTTGATATTTGAGTAAGCCGATTCAAGGTCGAGTTTAGTAAAGATTGTACATCCGGCGAGTTCCGACGTAAAATCTTCAAGTCTCGGCAATGGGAATCTTGGGATTCTTGTAATCAGATTCAAACGTCTATAATCAAAAGTCAAACGAATTGAATTGTCCTTTTTAGGAACTACGTTCAGCGGGCTACAATACGGGCTAACTCCGCGAATTATATCTCCGTTTTCTAATAATTTATTTATCTCGTCGTCTACTTGCTTCTTATATTTGAACGGAACCGGTCGGTCTTTTGTATAAACTGGAGGTCCAAAAGTTATAATATCGTGTTGATAATTATGATTAATTCCTCGAAATTTTGCATGTTTCCGGATTAAAATTTCTGGATATTTTTGCAATAATAATTGGTATTCCTTATCTATTGTTTCCGGTATTAAGGTTAATATTGGCGCACCACTTAACGTATTATGACACGGAATTGAAAAATCGTCTGCTCTATTAGTTAAACAATTGTTTGCTAAGTCTATTACCAGTTTATTTTTAACAAGAAAGTCTATTCCAAGTATACCATCAAATTCTATGTTTGCTAACACCCAATTATGTGTATATTTCACCTTATCTGCCAAGCAAATTTCAATTTCGGTATTGCCCACTACGGTTAATTTTGTGCCATTTGCCGTAATCAGAGGTTCATATTTTCGGTCACGAATAATATGTGTACCGGGATTATCTTCGGAAAGATTTTTTATGGTTTTAAATTGATGTAACTTTTTGGCATTTAAAATACTATAAGTTGATCCAGTATCAACTAAAAGTCGATTTTTAGAAAGGGAATCATATACAAAAAATAATTTATTGTTGCTTGACAGAGACGGTAAATTATTTTTATTTAAATTTTCACAATTCTTAAATTTATGTACAGCATTTGTTTTACGAGAGGGTAGACCTTCCGGGCTGTTAAAACCAGAAAAGTCTACCCTTCGGCTAAAAAATTCTTCTTTCTAGGAAAGCTGCAAGGGGCATTACATTTGACTGCGTTTTCTCCAAATTTATTATGGAAATAGCAGAAATTTACATCACAATTCCGTCTCCAGTTATAATTGTTCGAATTGAAAGTATTCCTAGGATAACCTCTAGCAAACTTCCTCGTTTCAAATTGACGCCTATCTTGAGAATTGTACTGTCTCGCTTGATGCTGCGGAGGGGCATTATATCGATGAACCGGGTTAAATTTTGGTTCGAATCTTGGGCTGTTTATTGCTTTGATTTGGGTATTCAAATTATCAACATTTTTAGCCAGAGACGTTACCAGATCTGTTAATTGCTCCAGTTTATTTTGTCCAGAATTGTCTTTTTGATAGGAACTTGTAACATGGTTCGAATTATTATCTGAGGAATCATAAATTTGCATCGCGCGAGCCAGCAATTTCTCGCATGAATATTTTGCTATATCTGAGTATAAGACGTTGGCTATGTAAGCTGGTAACAATGCTACAAACACTTTCTTTATTAGATTTTGAACTTCTATACTGTTTCTATGTCCCCCAATAAAGGAATCTTTCAAATATTTAAGAATAATATCTGGCCTTTCATTTTGTAATTGCCCAGAAAATATTTTCTGTAATTTTTCTCGAGAATCCGGTGCAAAAATGTCCAACAAAATTTGTTTCAGTTTTTCATAATTATTATTATGTTCATCGAGCGGCATCCTTGCCCTGACAAGATCCAGTTGTGGAGAATTTAAACACCTTAGTATATAGTTTTTCTTTTGCGAATCGCTGACTATTTGATTTTCAGCGAATTCGTTTTCCGTTAAAAAGATCCAATTTTTCACCGAATTTTCCCAAAGTGGTCTCGTGGGAATTCTATGCTTTTCATACAATATTGTTCTAGGTTCAGTTATCTGAGAGATTCTGGAATTTATGCCGTAATTCGGTCCGGAATCTTCTACTCTATCTTTATTGGTCAAAAATGGGTTGTTTGTGTCATTAAATTTCCTAACCGACGGCAATTGAAAAGTTATTCTCTGTCCAGAATCACCTCCCAAATCCTCGCACTGCGTAAGCTCCATATCAACAACAGGTTTTGTTTCCTTTGGGGACGAACTTTGCCAATTACAATTGTCATCTTCACGTTCAATTAAATTTGATTCAGGAATATTCAAATTTTCAAGTCCAAATTCTGTTTCGTCTTCAATATCTCGGCGTTTTGGTATTTCAGGCGTAATATGTGTTAATTGATATGGATTTACACCTGATTGTTCTGATTTACGAGCTTTGCTTCGCGTAAACATTTTTTGTAATTTGGACATTTATTTACCGAATAATCAATATACCATACAACCTTATACACACTTAAGTAAAACCAGGTACAATATTGTAAGAAGATATTACAAACCAGGTCAAACAGTTGATAAATCACACAGAATAGTTAATAGAATAAAATGACTTACGATTGTTGACGATCCATAATAATCCCGACGTACGGGGTCACCAATGTAAACTTCTGGCGTCTTTGCTCTCTTATTAAGCGAATTAGATAAGTATCTGACTCCAAAAACAGAATATATAGTAGGTTACGTGTTCAATTTGAGATATCTGTTAATTTTATATAACAGTAAGGATCTGACCCATTTGCCTGTAAAGATTTTTATTTCCACAGATAATATATCACAATAAATTGACTTACAATAAAACACACTCACAATCGTGAAAACCAAGTCGGTGATGAATTAGCATTGTTGCATCGAAATTGAAATAGAAAAGCCGGTTGCTGTATCGAACGAATAGAAAAGCCGGTTGCTGTATCGAACGAATTGAAATAGAAAAGCCGGTTGCTGTATCGAACGAATTGAAATAGAAAAGCCGGTTGCTGTATCGAACGAATTGAAATAGAAAAGCCGGTTGCTGTATCGAACGAATTGAAATAGAAAAGCCGGTTGCTGTATCGAACGAATTGAAATAGAAAAGCCGTGAAACCACGATCAAATGTCTATTTAAACGGTAACATCTTTTTCATCTCGCTCGCCAAAAACGGTACCTTTCTTTATTATCCAAAAATCTCGTTTCCCACGGAGCAATTTTTGCTCATATCTAGAATGTTCGGTACCCTTCTTACAATAATTACACTTGTTTATAGGTTACCTGACATGGGAAATATCCATTTTCTCATACACGAGAAAGATCTAGACTCAATATTTCGAATGATCTAGAAAGATCTCTTCAATATTTCGGTTGTTTATGGGTCACCCGACATGGGAAAATATCCATTTTCTCCTACACGAGAAAGACTAGAAAGATCTCTTCAATATTTCGATTACGTCAATTATTATATAGAATTTGACTTCCATTATCCAAATTATTGGTTAATTTGTTACAAGCAAAGTGGTGGCCACTTGGGCGGAAAGAATTTTAGGGGTCTTGATACTAGGGATTGCACAAATTTATACACTGAGTACTATTTAGACCTCTGATTCGAAACGCAATTATTAAAACTTATACAAAACATAAATTTCACGATTTCTAGAGAATACATAGAATTGGAAAAGCGATGCGCTTGCCTAATAATGCCGACGCAACAGGGGATCGTGGAAAATTTTAATATATTTTACGGGTCGCGAGTTTAAAAGTTTGGGAAGCCCTGAGTTAGTGAACTCCATAACTGAAATTCTTGAAAAATTTTTACGTTTCCCCCCATCTTTCATTTTTTCTGAATAAAATATGGAGGATGGAAAGACGGACAACTTACCAGACCTCTCTGTATTCGAGTTGTCGGACTTTTATTTTCACCTGATTACTGTTAGACAAAGTGTATTTACATTATGATGAAAAAATAAATTATTGATTACTGCCTCTGATGAGTTTTCGAGTTGTCCGTCAGCCCTAAAAACGCTTCAAATTTATCCCTAGAAAGCTTTAATTCTTCATGCATCCTCTATTTTTTATTTTTCAGTCTCCCCAACCCAAGCAGCCTAAGGATTCAAATACAAAGAAAACCAAACAAGAAACTGTAAAAACAAATGGTAAGCATTATTTTATACTTTTTTTACGCGGATTTTAACTTGTTTCAAGCGCTTCCGCAATTAACCCTTTTTTTCCGCTGTATACAATCGACTTTATGTACCATTTTATAATATGTAATGACCAGTTAACCAAACGTACAAGGAACACCCCCAATATCTCTTTAAAAAGCTTATTTTCGCGTCTTCCTACTAAAACGCGCCCAAATGACGTAGGCGAAACCGTTCGACCCTACGGGTGTAAGAAGAGAGAAATTTCAAAAAATTTTGAGAGAACGTTTCACACTCTTATCGCTTCGATGAACACGTGTTACAAAGAAACGAAATTCCAAGCGCTCTTCTGAAAGAGAGTTACGTCACCTTTGCAGAAAAACCTGACTCAGCTTCGCAAGCGAAGCGAAACGCGAAATAATCAATGATAAGTGAGATGTCATAGTTGTCTGAAATCTTTGTTTGTTTATTACGTGCGCGAAATTGTTTCCCGCTCGTTCAAATGACTTATTTTTGAAGTAATGACAAATACTTTCGTGTATCTCTAAGCTTTGAAATACCTACACAAATAAAATTCACTTAGTAGTAAAATAAAAAATTTACAAAAAAACAAAATGTTAACAGATCAAGCACGGATCATAGTTGGATGCTCAAAATGATTTAGTTAGTGCGGAATACTTCACAAAACATGAACATAAACGTAAAATAGTCCGAAAATAACTATTATGACCAAGGATGGTGGTACGAATATATATGTTATACGGAACAAAAGAGTTAATAAATAAGACCGGATTGATGATATAATATTTTGTTTTGCCCTACATGTCCATATCGTATATTAAATGTAGTCTAAGTGACTTGTGGGCCACAATAACATGAAACCTTCATACTGAGGAGGGGGGGATGCACAAACTATCCGCAAATAATAGTCGATCTCGTCAAGGGCTCCATAGCAACAAATGATTAAGAACCGACGACGTGAATTTCTTAATTTTTTTTGTTGAAGCTATATTTCTTCAATGCAATTCAGACATATGACTATTTTCTGTAGTGTGTTATTGATAAAATGATTCTTATTGTGTGTGAGCGCTCAGTAATCTATCTGTGTGATGTAATCTACGTTTTCAGTAATTCATTCGTTGAAAGGACCAATTACGGTACATTAAAAAAATTGCATACCACCTAAGTATTCGAGATTCGATTAGATTCTGAAATCATCAGGTATTCAGAAATGACCAGCAATAAATCTAGGAGAGTGTTTCCAAACCTATGGGTTGGCTCAAAATTTTTTTGGGTCGCTTGTCCAAGTAAAGCCAGGCCATGTTTTTAAAAATTCTTATGGCAAATAAACGCAGCTTCCTCACCTAATTAAGGTTAATCATTGGAAGAATGAACTTTTGTAGAAATGGCTGTTTTATACTAGTCACTCAGTTAATTTTGTGACTTCATACCGCCTAGTATTTGAGCATATCATTGGGTCGCGAAATTTCACAAACTTTAAATTTCATAAAATTTGGACCTCTTCAAAAAAGATTGGGAACCACTGCTAGGACATTTTGAACAAAAGTTTGATCTAGGATAGCTCCGATGAGGGGTTGGGCCCTGTTTGGGGCGTCACCCCGTAGTTCTTGCACGAGAGTTGAAACAATTCGAATCATTACTGCCAGGAAAACAGTTATGTTGAACAATAATCTTTCTAACACTTCATTTTATTCTTATTTCTATTTTCTTTTTCATATTCTTCTCCTTGTGATGTCACAACTACATCCTGCTGTACTTTTTTCTACATTCTCTCCTTCTTGCTTGAATGTGATGTCACAATCCTTCTACTGAATGTTCTCTCCTTTGATGCTGAAATATCTCCTTATGATGCAACAATTCTAACACTTTCTTGTCTCCATCTCGTTGTTACATCACAGATGTCGCTATAACCCTAAATATCCAATTGTACGTCGGCGACCAACCGGCGTTCACGGAACGACATCTTATAGCTGACAACGGAACTACTTTGAGAATTGAACGAGTGATGAATGAAAATGAACAAAAAAATTCAAAAAACAAATGCATTTCGAAACCAGAAAAAGCATTTTTCTTATCAAATTTGCCCATAAATAAAGCGAAAACCCAATTTTCCGGCGCGAATCACAAGAAATCCCAGATTAAAAATCAAATCAAAAGGTCTGAAGAGAAAATAACACCAGTCAAGGAAAACTCTAAATCAGGAAAAGATTCGAACTATACCAAGAAATCAAATAATCCTAAAAAGTCTTCTTCAAAAATGGATACAAAAGCTAATAAAAACCCAACCAATAATGAAGATAGATCGTCAGTAAGGAAGCACCAAGCTCCACATTCGGCACTTTCAGCAAGGAAAACTCTTCGAAGCATTACTGATGGGTATATCACAAATAACGGTGGCAAATATGTCGCGGCTCGATTAAAGTTTTTAAGGAAACATATCATGAAAATTGATTTTCCACAAGACGAGGCGAAAAATAACAAAATGGAAAAGTTTGCAAGACTTACTTTCCTTTCAAAGTTTAATGCTCTCGAGAAAATAATCGCGGAAGAGAAATCAAAAATAAAGGATTCTTTCACAAAAAATTGCTTCGACACTCCGATACCAAAACATTCTGCAAATAATCATAAAAAATTACGAAGTTAAAACTTTCAAAACGAATACAAAATTGTATTGCAACCTCCTAATAGTAAAGGAAATTCAGGAAAGAGAATGAATAAACAAAATAAGTTTGAAGTAAACAAAATTAAAAGTGAAGAAAAAATTCTGACACTTGTACCTATGGATAAAGCTTCCACTATCAATCGAGGGGATTCGACAGAGACAATTTCAAAGGATGAGGGGAGAGGAAAATTAAGCAGCAAAATTACAATTTTGAATATTCATAACAAAGAAGGATTCAAAAGATTGAAGACAAATAACGAATTTCAAACGAATTCGCGAACAGGGCGCAAAAATATCATCTCCGCTCCGTTGAATAAACCTATGAAAAGAGTTATAGTTTTTGGAAAATTGAATCGGGTCATTTTGAGGATAGCGCCAATAAACAAACAAAAGGAATTTGTGTATAAAAGAGAGGAACAGAGGAGTTCTAATAAGAATCTCTTGGATGGTGAAAAATCGGAATCGAAAAATAGAAAATTAGTTGAAGAAAAAATAGTTCGAAATGTGGACAAAGATAGCTTGTTGAAGTCGTCACATAAGAATGTCGTCCGAAAAACGAGAGAAACGTTCGTTCATAGGAAAATAGTTGTGAATTCGCAGTTCAATAAGCTGAATACAAAAAGTAGTCGTGTATCTAATGTGGAGACCGTCTCGAGAAATGATGAAGGGTCAAAGGTCAAATCTACCAGGAAGGATAGAGCTGTGGGGGCAAAGGTTGCAAAACAAAATAAAGTAATTAAAACTGCCCCAGTATGGAAACTATCCAAGCATGTTCGAGATGTAAAACAAGTGAAAAGAGATTCTGGTACGAAAAAACAGATTGCAAAACATAACAAAGTAATAAAAACTGCCCCGCCATCGAAAGTATCCAGAGATAGTCGAGATATTCATATGAAATCTCCAACGTCAAGTACTGCGGTTTTCTCACACAAATCTCCAATGAATAAAAAAGAAGTGGAATTTGATTCGAAAAGGAAAATAATTTCCGATGATGAAGAACCAAAGACGCCAAAAGCAAAATTGAAGAAAAAGCTTTCTCGAATGTTCGATCGTACTTTCGATCTCATTTCTTTTGTCGGATCGTTTTTCCAGCGTTTCAAAATCACCGATGATTTTTATGAAAATTTACCGAAATCTGTCAAAAAATTCATCACTAAAGCTAAAAATACAAAATTTGGATCCAAAATCTTGGATGTTACTGTAAATACTACGTTATTCGATGCATATCAGTTCGGAAAACGAAACGGACTAAAAACTTTCGGCATTTGTAAAGAAAAATGGAACAATTTCTACGAGTTCATCCAGAAAAAGCCGTCGTACAGAGCATTTATGATTAATATGTCAAAATTTAGTATAAAAATGCAGAAAAAATTCGACAAATTATCGACGCTGATCGAAAAACATTTCATGAAATTGCAGGATAACCAGAAATTATTAACGTCCGTTTTGATAACTCTGTCTGTGATTGGCCTGTATTCTATATTGAGATCATGTTTTCATGCTGTTCTGCGCCCAAGAAGGTGATTTTACCAAAGAAATCTGGACATTTTCCCTTTTTTCATGCGAATTCATCCACTTTCAGTAAATTTCTTTTCTTCTCAGTTAAATTCCACCTTTTAAGTCAAGCCACCTTTTTCATGCTGTCCTGCGCCCGAGAAGATGATTTTGAAATAAACTGGAAATCAAAGTTTCCTTTCTCGTTTCGGTTGAAGATCGCTCTCAGCTTTTTTTTTTTTTGGCTCATACATTCTTTGTATTTCAGCATTCATTCATGCATTTTCACTTATCAATCCAGTGAACATTCGTCTTTTTGCGTCAAACTCCCAACTTTTCAGCGGAAAGTGGTCTTCAGTCTTATTGAACTTACTTTTTTCTCCTTTTCTTGTTAAATTTCCACTTTTCATTGATAAATTATTTTCAGATTCAGATATTACCGATTTGAAAATTTAAATCTTACTTTCATTTGAATTCATTCTCTTTCAGTAAAATTCCTTTCTCTTCAGTAAAATTATTCCTATTTCATCTGAATTTTTTTCTCATATTGAAACCGTAGTTTTGTTTTTTATCTTGTTTTCCAGTTAAAATCTTTCTTTTTCTGTCAAATTCTTTTCATTCAGCAGATTTTATCATCAAATTTAGCTCGATCATAATTTTTTTCGAAACTAAAAAGAAAAATCCTTTTTAGTTGAATTCATTCACTTTCAGTTAGTTTCTACTCTTTTCAGCAGAATTCTTTTTTCTCTCCTCTGAATTTATTTTCTGGTTTATTGTCTTGCAGGTATATCCCCTTTATCAGTTAAAATCCACCTTTCCTCTCAAATTCTCATCTTTCCAGCTAACTTTTTCCCCCTTTTCAGCATTAAATTTTTTTTTAATTAATTTTTTTTTTATCGAGCATGCCTTGTTGCTAAAAGCTTCTCATTATCAATAGATTAAATCTCCCTAGTTTACGTTCTGAAATATAAATTCATTTTCACTTTCAGTTAATTCTTTTCTTGTCTGCTAAATTCTTTTTATTCATGTTATAACGCTTTTATAAATAAAAATTTGGTGTAAATGTGGCATCCCTCACCACAAATCACTCTATTTCACAATATTATATAACTATTAATCTTTTGTTATATCACAAAAGTGTGATAAAATATATGTTTATGTCATCATAAAATATATTTGCCAGCTGTTAATAATAGCTTGTTTTGTCACAATGTTTGATTTCCATTTGCTTGTTAACTAATAAAACCTGAATATAGAAAAATTTATTAGCAAGAGAATATTCAACTCCTCCTTCGATACTGAGTCAATTTAAAATTTTAGGCCTTCGTGGGGCTATATCGCCCCCTAGAGTAGAAAAGATATATTAGAAGGGCAAAAACCAGAGTGGTGACTGAGGGGAATAGCGCGTTCTTGAAAAGTCAGAGTTGTCGCAAAACTTTGCTCTTCTCTGATTTTGAGTCAACCTATGGCCTTCAAGATCAAAGTCAGTGGTTCTCGAGTGGACAATATCGCCCCCTAGAGCAGGGGTTCTCAAACTTTTGGTGTTGCGGAGCCCTTGAAAGGTTGAATATTATTCGCGGAGCCCCAAAATAAATGTTAAAATTGTTACTTTCAGATTAATATTCCTGAGCAAGTTAAAAGTACTTTACTCATTTTAAATGCTGAACCTTTTTTAATATAGGGTTAACACAAGTCATAAATAAATCCAAATTTTCAAACACAAATTATATATACTAAAGCTGTAAATTTGACACTTGACAAACATATTTATAAATTAGGGGGCAAATCTTTTCCCTTTTGACATTTTTGAAAGACCTGAAAAGCCGCTAATAACGTGTGCGATTTCATTTTGTTACAATCGCCGATTTTTTTCGTCAGCATGGCCTGTTTTTGAACCTTTAAGCATCTTTACGCCGGTGTGTATTCTCCCTAAATCAAAAATTTCCCTCGGCATATACATTTATTGTTACACAATGACGACGTTAATTGCTTTTTTGTTCTCGTGGTGGATTATGAGTTCATTGTGAAAAACATGTTACCACATTATAGTCATCGGCGACAAAATGCTAAAAATAATAATTAATAAAGAGGTAAATCCGCAACTCAAATTTCTTGATTGAAAAACGGCATTCTTAAATATTAAAACTGAATCTTAAAATGGAAGATCACACGTTTGGTTTCAGCAGACTCTCTTCAGATTGAAAACGCTTTAATAGAGATTGTAAATCACAAAATTTGGTGTTATGTTAGGTTTTCATCGTAGTAAACACAGTCAATTATGCGCGCGATGTACCTTTTTTTCCCATTTTGAAACTACAGAGGGAGCCGCACGTAATCAATTGTGCGCGCGATCCGCGATGTACCTTTTTTCATTCTGCAACTACTGACAGAGCCGAATGCAATAAAATAAATTTCGATTGTTCGCATTTTGCCCATACATTGTGATTTTTTAATCGGCGATATCTTGCTTAAAAATAATTTCAAGTGCGAAAGAACACATCAAGTTTGACAAATCCCAAGATCGCAAAAATACGACTCCAATTTATTTATAGTTGGCAGTTTATCACATATATATTTTATGTTATTTTAAAATAGTATACTTTAAATCAGCCTTAAATAATGTCATCAAGCTGTTATTGCTTCTTTGAACAGTTACAAAATTGGTCAGTATTTTGAAAAGTAATCGAATAGCTCGCGGAGCCCCTGGGTTTCTCTCGCGGAGCCCTGGGGCTCCGTACGGAGCACTTTGAGAACCTATGCCCTAGAGGACAAAAGATACATTATATTAGTGAAAATCCAGAGGGGTGGCAGGAAAGGAGTAGTGCATTCTTGAAAAAATCAGAGTTATCGCAAAACTTACTTTCGTCCAATTTTAAGGGCCTTCACGGTCAGGCAGTCATTCTCGAAGTGGGCAATATCAATTCCTGCCGCAGTTTTTCTTGAATTTTTTTAGCCGCACCCCCTTTTTGAGAGTTTTTTCGGGTCTGGCACCCCACCTCAAAAATAACTAGCTAGCAATGAGGTTACAAATAACAGATAGTAAGGCGAAAGTATGTTTTATTCAAAAATTATGTTGAAAATATGTGAATGGAATCCCGATCTCTAAACAATAAAGAAATGTAAATATACAAAAAAAGGGGGCAAGATCTAATTTTCATTTTTAATTAGCTCCACACCCCTTTAAAAATTGTTTGCACCCACTTTGTGGGATACACCCCACCATTTAAGGATCACAGCCCTGTATTATAGGTAGGGATGGAGGAATCAATTCTTGGTGGAATCGACTAGAGTCGATTTTGATGCATTGTGATCGATTCTTAGAGTTAAAAGTTGGTTGCAAACACGGCATAACATTTTATGTCAAATCCTTCACATTAATGTATAAACTGCTTTGTGGAGTTGCTTTGTCCCAGCAACATCAGCTGAATCAGAAAAAAGCATTAATTTTAGCATTCTCCAAATCTTAAAAGCTTTACCGTCTCCAAATTACCATCCAGACTCACAGGAAGACATGTGAACGAATTGAACCTTTTAAATTTTCGCTATGACAGTAAACATTTTAACTTAAAGTGGACATATAGATCGTTTTGTTATTATGTTGCTTTTGTTAGAATTCACTTTCTTGTTAGGAAAAAATTTATTTTCTCATTACTGGACCAATCGCTTTGAAATTTTCAGTGGTTGAAGATGGTATTTTTCACTAGATGGCTATTGCGTTCTTGTATTTCAAAAATTTCTGTGGGCTATAACAGATACTCCTTTGTTTGGGTGATTTGATCCACTGCGACAGATTGAATATCCATACTATTTCGAATCGAAATTCGGAACCAAAAACTTAGGAATCGGATTAGAATCGAATATTTGTGAGTAGTCATACTTAGCATCCTTAATTGTAGGTCATTGTTCTTCAAACCCTTTTCCCCACAAGCGACTGGGCACGGCCAAATTTTTTTGCGACCATCTGGAATCCAAATGAGACCGATTGAATCTTGGTTTTATTTCGGTTAATATGGGTCTCACTCCAAATTCTTCAAATTTGATCAATTTTTCGCTTCAGCTTAATAAATATAGCTAGTTCTGGCAATATTGGGATTCACGACCCCCACTTGAGAAATTTTGTAACCCGCCGGGGGATGGGGACCCCAGTTTGAAGACCCCTGTTATATTCGGTAAAAAAAAACACAGGAGTGACAGGTGGGTAGTAGCGCATTCTTGGAAAATTCAGAATTAAGGAGTTATCGCAAAACTATTAACCCAAATCTTAGCCTCTTATGATCTGAATCAGTTGGTGGACAATATTGCCCTCTAGAGCAGACAACTTAACTGGCTGATAGCAGTCAGAATCACGATCACGAGTGTCCGATTCGGAACGCACCTCTTTATGTTGGATCATTGTCCCTAATAACTTCGGATCTGTGGAGGTATCTTTTTATCAATAGTATTGTGTACATTTGTGCATAACCATATACAAAAAGCTGTGGACATCGTTATGAATGAAACGTCCATTTTTCTAAGTAATCGTTTTTGTGCTAACTCAAAGTTAGAGGCACTGTGAGATACCGGACCCAAGCAGTTGTCAATTTTTCATACAGATCTTTGGTAAAAATAGTTAGAAATTGATAGATATAAAACAGAGGCCGAAAAACTCAAGAGGGGTTGTGTAGCGCATTCTCAAATAAAAGTCAGAATTATCACAAAACCAAAAAATTTCTCCAAAAGATAGGCATGATATATTTTAGTGCATGCCAGTTCATAGAAATGTTACGAGTTCCTCTTGCTTGGTTTTACAGAGTCTACCAAAAAGAAGAAACCTAGTACCGTCTCAGAGGAAGACAAAAAAATATTAAATAAATTGAAAGAAGGTGAGCGTTTACTAGAGAAGAAAAAAGGCACTGAAGCATGGAAATATTTCAAAAAATTATCCGCGGACTATCCGGAAAGTCCAAAGGCCAGGTGAGATAAATGTTTTTCGAAATGGACTATAGGGAGAGATGTGTGGAACCATTAGATTACGATGACAAAGTCGTCAAAGCCTTAGACTTAACTGCGTGGGCAATGGAAGTTAGGTTCTCCCGTAGTATGTGTACCGGGTTAAAGTTGGTCCATAATTTGATTCTGATTTCCCCTATTTTGGTTCTATTACGAGATCGGGCACTGTCTGTGTTAGCTAAGTGAATGTACGAATATGCGCCTATAGTTTCAGTCCCTTTACACAACTTGATGTAAAGTAGGCGAACAAAATTAGTTACCTCCATATTGGTACACATACTTCTGGAGTGCCACAAGGTAGCTAACACGTGGCCCCCATCTTACCCAGGGTGTATAACCAGAAGTTAACAACAGGTTATTTTTGTACAGTGTTTCATATTTATTTTCGTGCTTATGTCACATTATACTAGCAGTTCCCACAAATGGGCGCTTGGTACCAATACGGAGGTAACTAATTCTGTTCGCCTACTTTGCATCAAGTTGTGTAAAAGGGCTGAAACTATAGGCGCATATTCGTACATTCACTTAGCTAACACAGACAGTGCCCGATCTCGTAATAGAACTAAAATAAGGAAAATCCGAATAAAATTATGGCCTAACCTGGTATACATACTATGTTCAGGTGTCCGCCATCTTGGTCCACATACTACGGGATTACCCAAATGTCATCTTTGATACTTTAAGTTTCCTACATATCTTACCACGAGCAAATCTTTTCATAAAAAAACTTTTACTTTAAGATTCTACAGAGGGAAATCGGAGGCAATGGTGGCTGAGCAGCAGAAAAGCAATCCAATGCTAACCCAGGCCATCACAACATTCACTGAGGTAGGTCATGGAATTTAGCCGAAAATATTGTTAATACGATGTTGCGGGAAATCGGGAAATTGTGGCATTATCATTACATAACAATTATGAAATGAGAATATCGGTCGGAGGTTAGGGGATCCCCCAAAACACACTCCTACTCCATAGTGACACTGTGTGTCCCATCACTAGTTTATTAATAACTCGCTAATTATACGACATAATTCATTGAAAATCAATAGGCTTCTGATCCGAGCTATGATGAATGCACATGCAAAATTTGGAGCAGATTCAACCTTGCTTTCCTAAGATATCGTTGTATTTGAAATATGTCCGTGGTGAAAGGAGTCAAACTATTTGTTAAAAAAGGGCATTTTTAGAAGATTTACAATTATTATATTATACACTAGGTGTCAGAAATGAGCAACTGTCCGAAGGAACTTCAAAAACAAGCGCTGATCGCCAAAGGAGAAAGGGAGAGTTTTCTAGGTCTGTTGTTTGATAATTATTTAACGAAAACAGGAATTTACAGAAATGATTTGAAAACCACTATTTTATAGACCAATTCCTACATTGATGGAAGGTCGAATGAAACTTTTAACCTTGAGTAATTTTTTCAAGGTCGAATGAAACTTTTAACCTTGAGTAATTTTTTCAAGGTCGAATGAAACTTTCAACCTTGAGTAATCTTTTTAAGGTTGAATGAAACTTTTAACCTTGAGTAATCTTTTCAAGGTCGAATGAAACTTTTAACCTTGAGTTATCTTTTCAAGGTTGAATAAAACTTTTAGCCTTGAGTAATTTTTCAAGGTCGAATGAAACTTTTAACCTTGAATAATCTTTTCAAGGTCGAATGAAACCAGCATTACAAACGCAGATCGAGCTCGCCAAACTTTATCCGAAAGACATCGGAATCTTGAACAAACTCGGAGTTCGTTACTTGATGCTCGGAAAAAACACAGCTGCGAAGAAAGTTTATGCCAAAGTGAGATGGATTATATTATCACTTTTTTGTGAAATTGTTTAGCCCATAACAGAGCTCTGCACGAACTATCGCTATTATGTAATATACACGAGTATATACACGAGTCTTCTTCACTCTGAACAAGTCTCTGTACAGCTGTGCTAAGGTATGAAATTATTACTTATCGATTTTTTATTATAGGTATTTGTCTGTCTGTCTGTTAGATGCACGCGATATCTCACGAAAGCGAGATTGAATCTGCTCCAGATTTTGCATGTACATTCATCTTATCTCGGACCAGAAGCCTTTTGATTTTGGGCGAATTATGTCGCATAATTAGCGAGTTATTAATTAATTAGTGATGGGACACAAGGTGTCACTATGGAGTAAAGGCGTTGTTTTGGGGATCCCCTAACTTTCGATCGATAAGTCTTCGGTCTCTGACCGATATTCTCGTTTTATAGTTTGCTCATATTTGACCTGACCATGTATGAAAAAAACTGTAACACTGAGAAAGTGCGCGTCAAAATATAATTTCTGGAATGACTGGACCTCAGTAACTTTTGTTTACGGATCTTTGGTAAAAATAGTTGAGAAGCCCTGACTTATACCATGTCATACCACTCTCTTATCAGTGCATCGATCGCTTTCAATTGTGTGCTTGGGGCCTTGCTACTAACAAACTTATTTTTTAAGATAATATTATTTGTTACAGGTGTTAAGGCTTTCACCTAACGATGGTTTTGCTTTGGTTCACATGGGATTTATCTTAAAGAACGCAGGAGAGTGGGCAGAGTCTGTCCCTTACCTGATGCGGGGAACGGAATCTAACGAGCAAGGCACTCAGGAAGGAAAGTTTTATTTTCATCTCGGGGATGCCTTGTACAGGACTAACCAAACTAAGGAAGTAAGTTTATGGCAAAAATGGTTTGATCATAGGATAGGTTTTCATATTTATCCCAGGGAGAGGGAAGCTGATAAGACGGCTTAATCATTATGGCGAAACACGGCCTCTCATTCGGTTACTGGTCGATGCCAGGTATGGGATTTGTAAGCCAGCTATTCGTTTCGAATGCATGGAGTTGATGGTGGAATAAGCCGTAACTACTACCGGTTACGTGAGCCACCCTACCACAGAGAGAAGTTCAGCAATTCTCTCGCACATGACTAACCATGCATGGTATTCGAACCTGCACAGAGTAATCAGAGATGCAGCAAACCCATTTACCCCATTACGGGCCACTTTTACCCCCAAAACAAGGCACATTTATCCCCAACCCGCATTCACCCCCAAGGGGGGAATTTTCCCCCAAGGATTCAGAATCCCAATTTCACTTTTATGACTAGACAACATTTACTTTCAACTTTGAATTCCTGCATGATTAACTTCATCTCTCGGATTACGTGACGGTATTACATTTCATATTCTTTCACGCTAGGCTGAACAAGTTTATGAAAAAGCTGCCGCAAAAGGATTATTTCGCTCAAAATACCAGCGTTCATTATACAACGTAGATCGCCTACGAGGGAAACCATTCTGGACGCCAGAGGAAGCCGGCGTGAAAGATTATGTCCGAGTGAGTATTTTATTTTACTTTTCCGATGCTTCTGAAGTATGCGTACCAAGATGGCGGACACTGGAACGTAGTATATGTACCGGGGTTAGGCCATTATTTTATTCTGAATTTCCTTATTTTAGTTCTATTACAAGTTTGGGGACTGTTTGTGTTACCCAAGTGAATATACCCTTTTACCATAGGTTTCAGTCCCTTTACACAACTTGATGTAGGATAGGCGAACAAAATTAGTTACTTCCATTTGGTACACATACGGAGCGCCAAATTATTAAACTATTTTATTATCCAGCGACTCGAATTAAATTGGAAACTAATCAGGGATGAAGCAATGGCGATTCTGAACACAGATACAGGATTATTCGATGGTGAATCTGAAAGCTTGAGAGACACGGGAGAGTGGAAGCAGTTTCCTTTGTTCCAAAGAGGTAACATATTCTCTACGAATAATCGAGGACCAGTTTTTAGCACTTATGATAAAAGTGTTTCTATATTATCATCCAATGATCGGGGGAAGGAAAATTGTGTTACTTTTTCATCACTTCCTCAGTTATGCACCAATGCAATCTCTCTCTTTAACTTGACTTGACAAATTCTCAAAAAAGCTTGCCTCTTTTTCTGGTCCAAAGCTATAAATAGGCTGACCCCAGAAAATCGGATAAAAAATTGGGCCCAGAGAATTGGTTTATTTGCGGGATAATACGTCATTCCTTTTCCTGTTTTTTTTCAATTTTAAATCTTATTTAAACTGTTTCCCACAGGCCGCAAAGAAGAAGCGAATTGCCGCCGAACCCCGAAAACTTGCAACATTTTGGAGAGAATGCCGAATGCGGCTGGATGCAGAAGAGGCCAGGTTAAATTTAGGTGCGTATTTTTTGTTGGGGGGGAGCGTAAAATTAAATTTTTTCTACTTGTAAGGGTGTTTGGTAAATTCGCAATGATACTCACTTCCAATAATATATAACTATCGTATGCGATTGTTTTTTTATGATTGGATAAATAAACTTGATTTATTCACTTCAGTGTGATGATGCCTGGTACCCATGTATGGCCGCACACGGGCCCGACCAACTGCCGACTCAGAATGCATCTAGGGTTGGTCATACCAACTACTGGTAGCGGAACAAGGCTTACCTGTGCCGGAGAAATGAGGTAATTTTATACCAAGGAATATTGTGCGATGTTTGTTTGTTAGTGTATGGGTCTGGCAGAGAGGAAAATCCCAAGATGGTAATTACAGACGTATTGAGAGGGAGAGTAAAAGGATATCATGTGGTGCGGACTAGGGCTGTTATCAACGCTTAGTATATTTGATTACCTGATTCAGCCAGAATTCATCCTGATTTAGTCAAAATTCATCCTAATTCAGCCAAAATTAATTTTAGTTCAGTCAAAATTAATCCTGATTCAGCCAAAATTAATCTTAATTCAGTCAAAATTAATCCTGATTCAGCCAGAATTCATTCTAATTCAGTCAAAATTGATCCTAATTCAGCCAAAATTAATCTTAATTTAGTCAAAATTAATCCTGATTCAGCCAAAATTAATCTTAATTCAGTCAAAATTAATCCTAATTCAGCCAAAATTAATCTTAATTCAGTCAAAATTAATCCTGATTCAGTCAAAATTAATTCTGATTCAGCCAAAATTAATCCTGATTCAGCCAAAATTAATCCTGATTCAGCCAGAATTCATCCTGATTTAGTCAAAATTCAACCTGATTTAGTCAAAATTCGTCCTAATTCAGTCAAAATTAATCTTAATTTAGTCAAAATTAATCTTAATTTAGTCAAAATTAATCCTGATTCAGCCAAAATTCATCTTAATTCAGTCAAAATTAATCCTAATTCAGCCAAAATTTATCTTAATTCAGTCAAAATTAATCCTGATTCAGTCAAAATTAATTCTGATTCAGCCAAAATTAATCCTGATTCAGCCCGAATTAATCCTGAATCAGGCATTTTCTTTCTAATCAAAATTTTTCCCACAATTTTACAGGATTTTGAATTATTAAATTTATCAATTTTTTTGCTGAATTATGAATTTTTCTATTTTCCAGTGAAATATTTTTCATGTTTTTCAGGACTTGGCAAGAAGGAAAAGTGTGGATTTTTGATGATTCCTTCGAACACGAGGTTTGGCAGCAAGCGGATAGTTTGAGGTTGATTCTGATTGTTGATATCTGGCATCCTGATATAACAGAACATGAAAAGAAAACTCTGACTGCAATTTAATGAATTTGACTGAATTGGGATGAATTTGGATGATTTTTGGCATAACTAGGCTGGATTTGACTGAATTGAAAGAAATTGATTAGGGAAATATTTGTTATTTAGAATGAATTTGGGTGGAATTTGACTGAATTGGGAGGAATTTATCTTCTCCTATTCCTACTCAATTAGGGAGATTTTGACGAAATTGTTAATAAGTTTGAATGAATTAGGTGGACATCTACTGAATCAACAAGCGTTTTGCTGACTCGGTAAGAATTTTGATGAATTAGGAAGAATACCACCGAATAATCAAGAGTTATGATGAATTAGGTAGAATTCCACTGAATTAGGTAAAATTTTACTGAATGATGCATTTTCCCCAATACGTAGTGGTGCTATATTTAATGTTGTTAGCTTGAATGCATCATAGGCCATAGCTGAGACATGGATAAAATATGGCCCGCTGACTAAATTGGGCCCAGACTGTTGGGTGATTCTGTCTAACCCACCTGATTATGGGGACCTTAACAAAAGTTCATTCACGTATTTTCGCTCACTCGATTCGACGGCACAGTTTTTCGGACACTTCACAATCTCTCGCCTCGTGCGCTTGTCGTATGCGGTGATGAACAACCTCGAGTTTCAATTTGGTGTCGACAGAATTTTGTTAACGTCCCCATGACGCTCTCTTAATGTTCTTTTTGGCTTGCGTATTCTTGCCTTGCCGGTGGTGTTTAATAATCTAGTGCTGCCTCCCTTTTCTGCACCCTATTTCGTAAAGATAAGTAATTTGAACAAACAAATATGATTTACATACGGTGTGGAATTAGTAAAAAGAATTCCACTGAATTTGGTGCTATATTAAATTTTGTTGATTAGATACATAATCATGATCTGAGGAATTACACTGAATTAGCGCTGACTTTCATGAGTTTGTGATTTATCAATTTTTTTCTTTCTTTTCGAGAGGTAGATTGATATCTTTTCCAGTTATCTCCTCCTTTCCCACTAATATATGAACATTCATATTCACTATTAAAAGTATTTTGGGTGCTCCCGAAGTATGCGAACCAAGATGGCGGACATCGGAACGTAACAGGTTACAGGTTAGGGTTAGGCGATAATTTTTTTCCAATTTTCCCTATTTTAGTCCTATTATCAGTTCGAAGACTAGCCAAGAGCCTCCCGTAGTATTTATACCTAATATTATGGCCTAACCGTAACCTAGTACACATATTACATTCCGATGTCCGCCATCTTGGTTCGCATACTTCGGGAGCCCTGTATTTTGTTTATGAGGTCCATTTATCTTTATCAATGCATTCACTATTAGTTGGCTACATTTCAAAAATTCCCAACATTATCGAGCAAAATATGAAAATTATTGCTATTAATGGAGGGGGTAACTGGAAAAGGCTTGAGATATCAATACAGGAATAAAATCTTGTCCCTAATCCTAACCCCCCTATTAGAAAAACGCAGTTTATTGAATTTTACTGAATTGAGATGAATTTTACTAAATCATGTGGAATTCCACTTGTTGAATGTTACTGAATTAGTAAGAATTAACGCTGGATTTCGAGCACATATTCTGAGTTTGCAAATTGATCAAATTTTTTTGTGCAATGAATAATCGAGAGCATTTTTTAATACTTTTTTTTTGTGCTTTCATTCAATTAAGTAGTTTAAATAAACAAAACTAGTTACCTTATGGTAATCACCCATTCCTTATTATATGGAATAATTCATAACGATTTAATGAATACCTGACACACTGATCCATCGCTTATATTACTTTTGTTTTATAATCCCATAGATTAGGTAGTCTACAACAGTGATTCTCAAAATTTTAAGGCCTTTTTAGAATTTGTCAAGTCTTGTGCCCACATCAAAAATAACTAGCTAACAATAAACTACAAATAACAGATAGTAAGGCGAAAGTATGTCTTATCCAAAAAACACGTTAAAAATATGTGGATGAAACGTAAATAATGAAATAAATGGAAAGTTTTAAAAACAAACAAGTCGGCCAAGATCGAATCTAACAAATATTTTTAATTCGCTTCGCAACTCCTCAAAAAATTTTCTTTCCCCCCTTATGGACCAGTACAAACTATCGCAACATAAACACTCTGCCATGTTCTGATATAATTACTTTTGCGTTCCAATGAAATCGTTTTAGCTTTATATTTATCGTAAACCTTCATATCCGAATAGTTTGCTGATCTAAAGTTGTAGTTTGCAATTAATTTTGAATGCCCAAGTTGATTTATTTTGAAAGTATTTTGTGATTTTCTTATTCAAGATTCTTGCTGTACTCTAACACATTTCTTTAACGTTTTGACCAAAGTCAGATTTTCTTAGACAAGCGTGTATCTACTATAGTTACAAAAATAGGTATTATGTGTTCCAGGTTATGGTTAGGCCATAATTTTATTTCAATTTTCCTTAATTAAGTTCTATTACAAGTTTGGGGACAAAATTATTAATTATTAATAATTTTTGAACTTTTCATAGAACTGATATCAAACACAAGTAATTTTTAATTCTTTTCATTTTCAATATTCTCCGTTACACAATTATTTCATTTTACCTGAGAGCAATTTTCATTGGAAAATCTATTATTTGCATTCATTTATTATCCAATCAACACATATATTTATTTCTGTAGTGCCTTTATGAAGCAATAATCAATTCTATATTGCATGTTATTTTTACTTTATTCAATATCATGTTGAATCATACCTTTTCATTTGATCGATTTCCATACAATGTAGTTTTTTAATAATTCAAGTCCTATCAAACTGTCTAAAATGCATACTTTTATTTCTTTCTCTCTGAGCAAAGCTCTTGAAAAGCAGTGATGTGTTAGCGCAGTGGTTCTCAAACTTTTTAAGCCGCGCCCCCTTTTTTAGAATTTGTCAAGTGCCCCACCTCAAAAATAACTGGCTAACAATAGGCTATGAATAACAGATAGTACGGCAAAAGTATACTTTATTCAAAAAAACACGTTGAAAGTATGTGGTAGATAATGCGATAAGTGCAAATATCTAAAATAAGGCGACAAGGTCAACTCTAACAAATATTTTTATTTTTAATCAGCTTCATGTCTTCTCAAAAAATTGTCTTCGCCCCCCTTGTGGGACCTTGAGAACGACTGTGTTAATGTCTACTGTATTTTAATGAGAATCACTATCTTTTCGATTTGGTTTTCCCTCCCTAATTTATTGCACCCGGGGTAAGGGGGTAGCAAGTCCCTAAACCCCAGGGTATGGTCCATCCAAATACATTTTTCATTTCAAAATCTTATTTTTATCTATTGTCCCTGTATTTACCCAGTCTAGGCCCCATTTCTCCTAGATCACACAAAAGTCATAGCCGGTGCCCCTTTTATATACTATTTAGTTGAAATGTCCAAACCCAGGCTCACTGGACATATGTGGCCTGCCGCTTCATTATCTGTGGCCGCGTCACATTCGGAGAGTAATCAAAAAATTGCATTTCGTGTTGTTTCGTCATAAAATTAATCAGAAAAATCTTTTGACCTATTGTCATCACTAATGTCACTGAATTAAATAATGTTATGGCTAGCTGGGGAAACTAGTAAAATTGAATGATGTGCTTGGCAGTCTAAATTGTTATCTGGCTTTCCATCTTTTTGGTCGGGAATATATGCTAACAATATAGACATCATAGAAAACTAAAAATTGAATGCGGATTCTATTAGCCTAGAATGGCTAAGCCTGATAATTATGTGTTTGTTTGTTTTGTATTGCACTGTCTACCTATTCTTGGCACTATTGTGGCCCGCGAACAATACAAAAATAATTTTGTGGCCCGCGGAGTCGACAACCTTGGACCACCCTGGTCTAGACGAATTCATTTTTCATTGCAAAAACTTAATTTTCAGTTATTCATCTCCATCCTTACTCAGACTAGGCCTAATTTTGCATAGGCCACACAAAAAGTTAATGCCAGCTCTGCTTAAATATATATATATATATATCCACTAACACGAAATATATTATTCATACCGCTGCTTATGGTGCTTCATAACTGGTGCAAAAATGAAACGTCGACTAATTTTGTGTGTGTACAATCGTATGTGCTAGGCCTTTATTATTTTTGGTGCCACTATTTCGTGTGATCTACTGCCATAGGTTTCCTCCCACGTCCATCATGATGTTAGGAAATACCAAAATTGGGTTATGGTTAAAGCCATAATTTTATTCACATTTTCCTCGTTTTAGTTCTATTACGAGTTCAGGACTGTCCGTGTTAGCCAATTGAATATACCCTCTGCCCATAGGCTTTCGGTCCACTTTACACAACTCGATGTAAAGTAGGCGAACAAAATTAGTTATCTCCATATTGGTACACATACTTCTGGAGTGCCAAAAATTGAGTGTTATTGCATACCTTATTTTACGACCCATGAGGTGTTCTGTCATTCCTTTTTGTCCCTGAAAAATCGATTTTGCGCCTCATAAACCGATGCGCCTAATGTATTGATCATATTGTATACACTTGAAACCAGTACAGTTACTGCTTTAAAAACCGTTTCTCATTATAACCCATTTTTCTTATATTTGTATAGAAACTCATTCTAAGCAGTTTATTGACATTGCGCCTTATAGATGGATGGGTGCCAGCCATAACGTAAATCCAGGCCATAAATCGCTAAATTGAATGTATGGAAATAAATTATATCTAAGATGGATGCAAGTACCATATGATTGTGGAAAACAGTGCAAGTAACTCTTAATAATATATATGCTTATTATATTCATTACACATATTTTCTGTAGACTTCTAGTAAATTGAATGTTTTTTTATCGCAGTATATCCATGAAATGCATCTACCCAACTTATTAGCGTTTTGTTTTTAAATTTTTCTAATCCCGTGATCGGAAGGTATTAGTTTTTTTACTCTGACGTCCAAACCGAAATTTTTCGTTTCTGATTTAAAATTCAGTCGATAGCAACGATTCCCGACTAAAGCCAAAATAATTAAGTTTTTGTCATTAAAATTGAATTACTGAGGTGAAAGGCGTGAAGTTTAGGGTAAAATTTGAAATCTTGTGGAAGTTACTTTTTTGGACTCCCTGACTCCAGATTCTGAATCGAAACACATTCGTCTCATATTCGGAATTTTGTCGGC